TTTATTGCCCCGACAAAAGAACGCAGTGCAAGTGGGAGCATCCGCTCTAAATCGGTGCTGTTGCTTCACAGGAGGTGGTGGTGGTGGGGTGTGTGGGGTCTGTGGGCTCCGTGCCTACCAAGCAAGGGGCTAGTCCGTCGCCTTACTTGCAGTCACGATCCTGTAATACTGTGCACTTTGTAACATCTACATTGCGTAGTTTGGCGCCGTTTCATTTGTCCGTGTTACCTTTGCCTCCATTGGAGGAAGCCTCATGAATGGCCGCCACTGTTCACATTCGCCTGTTTGTAATCCTATCGTGTGCACTGAAGATAAACTAAACGCTGTCAAATGTTATAATCCCTACGCTTACCAAGGGAAGCTTCGTCACCGATTGGCATAACACTTTTTCAGGAGGGTCCTGCAAAGTATGTTTCCATTGAGGAACCTTGCCAAACGTGATGTAAACACTTCCCATTAAATGTAACTCTACTTGCATTCTATTTTTAAAAAAATAACGACAGAAAACCCAGAAATACAAAGATTGCCAAATATACAATTAAAATTGCAATGAATGTGACGTACAAATACGTGGTTTTGTGTGTGAAATCTAATCTAGATTAGAAGTTTTCGTGACTGCAGGGATCCATACTCTTTGGTTCTTTCGGTAAAGTTACGTGGGTAGAAAATAAAATAAATTAAATCAAGCGTTCGTCATCAGGTGGGACAACCACAGCAAGGAGCAATTGCTGAACCAAAGAGCTGTGTGAAATCTGTTCTTAAAACTGCGAGTGGTTTGCTACTGAAATGAGCCGGTCAGTGTTGCATTTGCGCACCAAGTTTGAGTCGTGTTGTGTCTACAATCTGCTACCTCGAAGTGAGGCTGCCCCAAGGCACGACCGTGTGGCTGCTCCTGGCCACCAGGGCAGTCGAGTGAAGTCTGACCTCTGTAGGGCAGCGTGGGGACACGGCACTCCCTAAGCGGGTGATGATGCAACCTCTCAGTGTGTTTGCGTTTCTCTTTGTATGTGCGTGTGTGTGTGTGCTTCTGGAGATGCTTGTTTAGCTTATTCAATTGTGAAGGACACACATCACCTCTACGTCTATATCGTGATAGTTGTCCACTTGATGTATTTTGAGAATGCTGGCGTATTTTTAAAATATATTTCCTCATTGCATTTTATTGTATTTGTATAGGTGATGATGATCGATAAGACATTCCACCCTTATTATTAGCTGTACGAGTGTGCTATTCTGCAAGATTTTTTTGTGACCAAAGAACTATATTTATAGAAGTAAAATACAGGAGATATACTTGTACATGGGAGGTGGAAACATAATAGGATATAGGATGCAGAGCCTGCATATGTATTTAGTGCAAAACCAATGGATAGCATTTGCATAATAAATATATAAATTATCGTTTCAAATTCTCACTCATCGTGTGAGTCATTGTTCAAACATTTCGCAGTCAACCAGCGTGCGGAATGAATTCGACATTTTACTGCAGAATCTTTAGTAAATGAATGCACTTCTCGTTGATAAGGGATGTGTTTATTATACTGCATATACAGGTCTGAAGTGTTGTGCCCAGCCAATGTTTGTTTATCTGGCATGCATCTGGGGTGCAACGACGTACGGTGTCTAGAGGTATATACATATTTCCAACCATTTTAGCAACTCAAATGAGAGCCACGAAAGTATGCTAAGCATCTTTCCTTTGTTGTCGTTTCTCGCGCACTGAGTTATGTAACTTCCCGTCGTACCCGCTTGTGTCAGACCAAACCCCGCATGCCCGTGGTGCATTCACCCACCATGGGAATCAAGGGTGCACATCAAGAACCGCCATCGCGTTTCCTTGTTACATGCAACATATATACCCATTAAGATAGAATGTATTATGATAAAGTGTGCAGTATCATGTAGTAGTACACATTCGTGATTTTGAATTCTGAGAAGAGTTTACAGTCCCGTTTTCAATACACTGCTGTTTTGAAATCAAATTCAGGTTACGTTTTTTTTTTTACCAAAGCCACTGCACCACTGCACGACCCCCCGGAGGGAGTGATTGAATCATGTCGCTGGGTGATGTAAATTCAGGATTTTGTGGCACGGACATGATATTATGTAGATAAATGACTGGATCCACATACATCAATGCTACGAATGCCAACACACCCCCAGGGCATCGTAGTGGGTAGGGTAGGCATGTAAATACTCAATAAACAAGTGTAATAAATTAGAGTATTTATATTCTTTGTGTCTATCGGTAAAAGTCACGTAGTAACTTTACCGAAAGACCCAAAGAATATGAATTCCTGCAGTCACGAAAGCTTTAAGTACGTAGCCAAACGTACTACTCGGAGGTGCTAATTGGTGGAGAGTGGTCCAATAGTACGCCTTTCAATGAGACGGAGCGACTAAATGAGCGCATAAGGTGCTAGGTGTGGATCTATGGCAGCATAGTGAGAGGTGGTGATGGATTGGGGAGGCCGCCATGTGGCTGTCTTGTCCGTGGCTGATGATGGTTTGGTGAGAGAGCGTGGGAGAGTGTTTGTTGTGTGTGAATATGTCTCTACTCGACGAGCTCGTGCCGACAGACCGATCTTACCTCGCCTGTAACGTCTGGCAGGTCACCAACATTAACGAAAGCAAGGCTGACACTGCTGATGCAAATAATCCTGACTTGCGTGTCAAACAAAAGTGGATGTTTGTTGTTGTTTCTCGTCCGGAATGAATGCTGCTGAACTCGTGTACACTCCCCAGCAGGCCATTGGGCCAACGAGGTTATGTAAGAAGTACTTTGAGCGTGCGTGTGGAGAGACAGGCGCACACAGACACTGCGCTTGTGCATGAGGACATTAGACACAAGCTCGTTAATAATATTAACCTGTTAAATAACGTAATAACATTAATAACGTGTTAAAATACGTAATAATATTATTAACGTCTTAATAACGTAATAATAACATTAACGTGTTAATAACGTAATAATAGTATTAACGTGTTAATAACGTAATAATATTAATACTATTTACGTGTTGAAGCAAACAGACAGTTCACCGCCGGACGATCTAACCCAGTTGAACAGGCCGCTGTAGACACATTGTTGTCGAGGCTTCACCCCCCCCCCCCCGTTTCCTCTGCGTACATTGTCAGTAGCCCCCCACTCCCCCCCCATAAAAGCGGTCCGCGTTTGGTTTAACCCCTCCCCTCCCTAAGAGTTAACCCCTCCCCCCGCCATGCGAATGTACTGAATGGATGGCCCCAAAGCGGGGCTGGACGTGTTGGGGGCGGGTCTAGATGAGGGCGGGGCTTGGCGTGTTGGGGGCGGGGCTGGGCTGTTGGGGGCGGGGCTTGGTGTTTGGGGGCGTGGCTCGGGCGTGTTGGGGGCAGGTCTTTGTGTGTGGGGGCGGGGCTTGGGCGTGTTGGGGGCGGAGCTTGGGCGTGTTGGGGGCGGGGCTTGGGCGTGTTGGGGGCGGGGCTGGGCGTGTTGGGGGCGGGGCTGGGCTGTTGGGGGCAGGGCTTGGTGTTTGGGGGCGTGGCTCGGGCGTGTTGGGGGCGGGGCTGGGCGTGTTGGGGGCAGGTCTTTGTGTGTGGGGGCGGGGCTTGGGCGTGTTGGGGGCGGGGCTTGGGCGTGTTGGGGGCGGGGCTTGGGCGTGTTGGGGGCGGGGCTTGGGCGTGTTGGGGGCGGGGCTGGGCGGGGCTTGGTATGTGGGGGCGGGGCTTGGTATGTGGGGGCGGGGCTTAGTGTTGGGGGCGGGGCTTGGGCGTGTTGGGGGCGGGGCTTGGGGTGTGGGGGCGGGCTGAGTGTGGGGGCGGGGCTGCCAACGCTACATAAATACCAGTCGGCGTGTTCATTCTCTGTTGTTCGCCCGTGCGTTGCAAAAGTTTGCACAGAAACGCAAAGAGGAGAGTCTTTAAAGGCGTAAAATTGAACATTTGCAAATATTTGCTGCGGCACAAAATAATAAAGCAACGTTTGTTCGGTTTCAGTTATAGTGAGGTTTGATTTATATATATTGTTTTGGTTTCCACTTAAGTACGAAGCTGTTTATTCATTTATTTGATTGTTTTATATCCATCGGACTTACGTAATAACTGCTGTTCACTGGTTTACTACATTTGGCGAACAGCTCCAGAACTAACGAGGTAAGGTGAATATCCCTTAGCTCTGGACCATTCGTGCCTGCAATGGCACAACTACGTGAACCTGCTGTGTGTGTAGGTAGAGAACGAAGCGCTGTGTGTGTTGACTTGTATGTGATGTGTTTCATTCACCACACGCGTGCACGATCGAGGTTATCGCGAGGAATTGTCATGTACTTCACTTTACGAAATTAAGCTTCTAACCTCTTGTTTAATGTCTTTGAATTACTGTAGTTGGGTGTAGTTTGGTTGTAGGCAGTGCTGTACATGCTGCTTTAAACGTTACTTGTGTTGGGGTGTGATCTTGGTATATAGTATCGCACGTTGTACATCTACAACACGTTTTGAATGTTGTTTGATCAATGGGATTAACGCAAGCTCCCACACTATCATCGTTATTAAGTTCTACAGTACTCTTATTAGCCTAACTTTGTCATGCAAAGGGCTAAATGCTAAGTTCAGCCACAGGGAGACGTCCCCCCCCCCCAGCTCCCGACTTGAACCTTTCCACGGCTGAGGTTGGATCCCAGCAGCACATCGTCGTCAATGTCAGTCGTGCCACACGCACACAGAGGTGCAGTCGGGACTCTTGCCGACGACTTGTGTTCGTCATGCTACATTGCATCTGTCCATGGAGAAGGGTCATTGCCCGAAACGTCGCCGGTTATATATATTTATTTTAAGGCCACGGTGTTATTGACAAATGTGTTTGAGGTTGGTAGTGTTGTTAAATCTGCAGTGGATTGGTACTGTGAGGAGCACTTCAGTTGGCTACCTGCTAAGACTGGCACGACTGCCTATGTGCTGCTATAGAGCTACATTAACCAACTGTTAACAATGCAATTTGTGTGCTGTTTTGTGTGTGTCAACAGGTCACGGGATCTTCGAGGAAGGAGGAGGACGAGGACATTTACTATATGCTCTGTGTAGCAGGCAAAACGTTGACATTCAAATAACAAGACATTTCTTAACTCAATTGGAAAATTGCGTCTTCTCTCCAAAACATATAAAACGATAACGTTTTGAAAGCACAAACGCCAAATTCGCCCGCAGCCTGTTTCCAACATCGACCTCCCATCGCCATGGCAAAGGACCAGCTGGAACTTCGCTCGGACATCTTCGTCAATGACAATGACAGCAGGGACAGCGGAGAGGATGGCTACCCGGTGCCCTCCGAGGCAGACAAAGTGACCATCAGGTAGACGGAGAGAGAGAGACGCACCAACACCGCTCCACTGCCACTCACTCCAACTAAGGCTCTGTCGATCTCTATCTGTTCTATTCTTGCGTACAGCAGCAATGCATTCGGGAGCTCGAATGCCAATGTCGAGGTCCGCTAACCACGGGTAGGGCTGCAGGAGAGAGTTTGTGGAGTTTTGCTTTTCCTCCGTTAAAAGGGGCGCAGACTACAGCGGGTTACTACAGTGTGTGTGTTTTTTTATCTCTGAAATGTGGGGTCACGATAACCTTTTGTCGAGACGATTAAGTTTACATGGAATTTGTATTTAAACTTGTGGTGCTTTTAGGCACTTTGCTTTATAGAAAGCCAGCCACAATTGATGGAAAGGTGTGAAGAAAGCTTGCGAAGCAAATATGACAACGGGTTGTGCTCTAACAGCTACCCATCCGCTTCCATGGTGCTTATAAACACTTGTGAGAGGCAGACACACACACGTTGGACATTGCTGCAGAGTTCATGCGTCTGCATGATTTTTATTCCTTGTCAAAAGTAATGGCACTGGCAAGGTGAGAGCCTGGTTTCGATTTTCACACCGTCAGCCAACTGTGATTTAGACGAATTCCGTTCCGGTCACTAATAATTGCATTAAAAAACAGCATGTCATCGTAGATTTGGTTTTTGCACTTAATCTGGCCGAATTCCAGCTCTGAGAGTTAAAACGAATACATGGGCTCGACTCTTGTGACAGGCGTTCCTCTGTTGAGCAGCGCGCGTGGGGGAGTGCGACGCCGAGTGCGGCTAGGAGTGTCACTCGATGAGATTTCAGAATTTCGATTTAAAGCTTTCGTGACTGCAGGGATTCATCTTCTTGGTTCATTCGGTAAAGTCACGTAGAAGGGAAGTAATAAAATAATAAAAATAAAACATAATAAAATAATTCTCATGACGTTTCGGCCACAACGCAAGCAGACGTCCTCAGGTGAAGACCAGGTCTGTCGGGGAGACAGCGTCTGACACTTCAACCTGAGGACGGCTGCTTGCGTTGTGGCCGAAACGTCGTGAGAATTATTTTATCATGTTTTATTTTTATTATTTTATTACTTCCCTTCTACGTGACTTTACCGAAAGAACCAAGAAGAGATTTCAGAAACTAAAAGTTGTGCGACGTCTCCTCCCGTGGACTCTTCTTGAGCATGCTGTGCTGCGCGGCGAGAGTTCTGGAGGATTCTGAGACTTACGACACCGCTGATGTCGTAATTGGGATGAAACCTTGTGGGGATGCTGGCGACAAGATTGGACCCGTCGGTCTCGTGTCTAAAATTGCACCCAGCCGGCAATGATCTCTGAGTGAAGTCAATGCAATTCTCGGTGATTAAAGATGATTAGATTATTTAGATATTGAGGAAAGATTTCATTTATAAGTGTGCAGCGCTTGACAGAAAAGAATATTGATCATGATCAGACGGCCAATATACAACATTAAATGATGTATGGAATCGGTTGGCTGTGGAGAGAGGTGACCGTGCTAATGGAGTTATCACGAAGCGAGTGGCTTGATTTGTCTGCTGCTGGGAATGCCGTTAGCAAAATTAATAACATCGTGTTTAATTTCAGCACAGAGTCACAACTTTTATAAAATTTCAGTGTTTGTTCAAACACCTGTGCAACAATTGAAGGATGCTTTTCAATGTAAATGACCCAAGTTTCAAGCTATATATTAAAACAATTTGGTACTGAAAGAAAGGCAATGGCTTGCCGCTAGGAGAAGAGTTAAATAAGTAATTGAAATGTTGAGCAGGTGTGTACATTCAGTTTCCATGAATCACGATGTGTGTGCGTGACGGTGCTAATAGCCGTAATTTACCCCTGGTGGCCACGCACCCGTTTAATTATTAACACTCGGGAAGCGTACACAGCAGCGTGCCTTTTATTATACAACCTCTCATCTGGTACACATACCACTCGTAAATGTTATCGATGCTGTATTGTTTAATTTTCTGTGTTTACAAAGCTCTGAGATTGCGTGTTATTGCTGGATGTGTCATTACCATGGGGTTGGGGATGTTTGCTTAATCCTTGAGTTGCACTGCCCATCTTTGTATGAGAGGAAAGTTCATTGCCACCTCTGCTGTCCGTTCTTTTCGCAGTCAATACGATGAACAGTTTGAAACTGAAAGTGCCAACTTTCTCAATGGTGGAGTAAAGAAATATGATGTAAGTCTTTTGTTTCCAACATTCTTACCCACATTTACCTGTTTAGACAATACACACCGTAAATTTAAAAGCCGTATAAACTGTGTTACAGTAAACAGACATGTGTTGATTATCAATCATGGGTTAAGTACGGGCCTGTCGGGCGTTGTAACTTGTAAGCGCCTCACTGAAATAGGGTGCGCTTGACCTCACCTCTCGCGTTTCTGAACCCCCCGACGTTTCGTCTTTCCGAGATCCTCTTCTCTGACCCGCCCGCCATCGTCGCCGTGGCCGTCATCGTTAAGGGGATGTCGAGCATGGTCACGCATTCCAACTTGAGAGAGAAAACAAATACAGTTGTGTGTGTGTTGCTGTTTATCATAGCCTCGGTAGCCGTGGTGTCGAGTTCCTATGTTTGCGTACGAGCAAACGTGGGGTTTTTTGGCGCTTGCAAAATGTTGTCTTTGCATCGTGAAGCCGTGTGTTTGTTCGGCTGTTCTACAATGAAACGTGAAAATGGAATGTGTCGGGCCTCCCATTCCGCTATATTTCTGTACTGCCCTTTATTTTAAATTATGCATGTTTGATTAAACAACTATTTCATGTCCATAATGTGGAACTGTACTCCATATCGTTCCAACTTTGATTCATGAAGATGCCATAAAGTTATAGTTGACATTACGCTTCACAGAAAGTAAAATTGGCACTCTTCGGTGCATGCACATTGGTCACGAATCTCTCTGTAGACCATCAAAGTTCTGTTCCTCCACCATCATTTGATCGATGTCAAGACTTTGATAGTCATTATCTGCTGTAAACGGAAAAGGCTGTTTATAAATATAATTGTATTTGAAAATTTAGTAAACAAACCCATATTTAAATAAAGCCTTGTGACAGCTCAAATGCAGAGAACAGCATTTACAACTCTGTATACTCTACATTACGAGCCATTATTAGGCATATAAATTCGACCACCTATCAAACCTCTACGGAAGTTGTTGCTTTCAGTTTAATATGCGTACACTTCTGGCCAAGTGCGATTGGCGTTTGTAAGCCAGCACAACAAGTGAGCAGTGCGCCTGCTCTCTCTGGATACCTGAGCGACGACTCCCACGGCACTCGCCAGTGTGCAAGGTTCAGGCACGTCTGGCGAAACGCAAGATCATCCGGCTGCTGTCCCATTGCAAACGTTGAGCGTTTCTCTTCTTTGTGTTTTCAGCAACATGAGGGCAGAGAGTCCTTTGGGATGTCTGTGTTCAACCTCAGCAACGCCATCATGGGCAGCGGGATCCTGGGCCTCTCGTTTGCCATGGCCAACACGGGCATCCTGCTCTTCATGTGAGTACTGCCGCGGTAGAACGTCGCTCGCGGCACCCCATGCGCTTCAAAGTCACACGGCGGACAACGTGTGTGTGTGTGTGCGTGCGTGTGTGTGTGCGTGTGTGTGTGTGTGTGTGCGTGCGTGTGTGTGTGCGTGTGTGCGTGTGTGTGTGCGTGCGTGCGTGCGTGCGTGCGTGTGTGTGTGTGTGTGTGCGTGCATGCGTGTGTGCGCGCGCGTGTGTGCGTGTGCGCGCGCGTGTGTACGCGCGTGTGTGTGTGCGCGCGCGTGTGTGTGCGTGTGTGCGTGCGTGTGTGTGTGCGTTTGTGGGAGCGGGAGCTGCGCTATGAATCCGGCGACTCGAGTTCGGTTCCCTCTCATGGCCAACACGAATATCTGAGCCTCCCCTAGGTCAACTTAGCCTCAAATGAGTACCTGATGTGTGTAAACATAGCCACTGGGGAGACAAAGGCGGTCGCGCGTGGTGCTGGCCACCCACCCCCTCGTGTGCCGTGTCGACCTTCATAGGCGCTCGCGAACAGCCTGCTAAGGCTACATGGGGGATCTTTGTCTTGTTGTTTGTGTATTTAATGCTGGACGTTTAGAGGTTCTATGTAGTTTTGAACGTAGATGCGTAAGTATGCGTAAGTATTCGGCATAGAGCGTGAGCTTTAGTTAAAATCAGTCCTGGATTGAAACACAATAGCACGAGACTAACATACCAACATACCAGGTTGACTGACGTGGATATATCATATTTGCATAGGTTTATTCACCAGTTGGCCTTCAAGTGTCTATCTCAACACAACCACACACGCCCGCAGCTGCGCAGTCCTTCTTGTGAAAATGTTTTCACGGTGTGTATATGTTTCAGTGAGCAGCAATCATAGATAATTGTACAAATACCACCAGGTAGGGAGGGGAGGATGGAAATTGAACCCAATGCTGACTCGGTACGATTTGTCACGGGCATTGACATCTGAGAAGCCGCCAGGTCACCTTTGATTATGACACATTCGTAAATTTCCGCCCCGCCACAACAATGCAGAGTTCTCGCGTGAAATCTTTATGCTTCGGGCCACCACGAGACGGAGAGAGACGCGCCGCTTGCACTGGCGTGCAGCGATGTTGGCGTGTGACGCTGCACATCTTCTCTCTCGGTGTGGCGAGTGAGCCGGGGGGGAATCAAGACAGGCACATGTCGTTTTGCCACGGAGGCATCACCTCAAAGTGTGTGATTTGTTTAATTGAAACAGCCGGTTCACCAGTGCATTTGAAATGCGCAAAGAAAAAAAAGAAACATCCGAAAAAGGAATGCAATCCTACAGAGATTTTAACGTTAATGCTTTGTCTTAACGTTTTGCAGCCAATGTCTTAACGCTTTAAGCTCTCCACCGTGTGGAATGTTTTGCCATGATAGCGGTTTTTACTGTCAATGAAACAACTTGTAAGGTGGGCATGTGCGTCAGGGATGACTGTAGCGAGGTTAACATTTGCGTATTTATCGTAGGTCCGGTTGGAAGGACAGCGCCCTTCGCTTGCATCTCAGCAGAGTCAAATTTATAATCGCGGTTCAGAGCCCTTTGTCAATTCACTGCAGGATAAGTCTTCCCCCCCCCCCGCACGCCGTGTCGTCGTGGGGGTTTGACCATACTTCACCACGATGGCCAGTGCGTTGTCAGTGTAGTGGGTTGGCTAGGGCTGGTTCAGATATCACTCGGCGTTGGTTTTTGGCTCTGGCTACCGCTGCACCACCACTCAACTCCCAACCTGGTGTCAGTGTCATTAATGCAACGAGCACATTTTCTGTGCAGTGCTATGCATTAAAAGCCAGCAATTTTTTTTATGTAACTCAAGAGGGCCTGAAAGTCGGCACAATCAATATGGCTCCTCGCCACCGAGTCTGAGCGATAATTTGTTACCCGGCTAGCCGCTGTCATGCGGCATTGGCACAGCTCTCTGTGGGGAAAGAGATAAGATATCACAGATATGGGATGGTGTGCTCTCTCTGCGGAGCAGGAGCATGTTCCTGTGGCTCGGTGCTTCATACAGGGCCAAACTCTGAATCCAGGGCTCATCGGTTGCGCTCAAAAGTCGTCATCCTAAATTTTGTGAGAATGGTCAAACAGGCAAGGAATCGGCGTGGACGTAAAATATCCCATCAGCGATTTTATCAAACGATAGTCATCGCCTCTCTTGTGTCACGAACATATTTATAAATTAAGTTACAGATCTCTTCTAAAGTCCAATTTGTTCTCAATATGTACCCTCTGCTGCCGAGTAAAAAGTGCCAAAACTCCCACAAGTCCACACTTGACGCGTCCCGTACATGGACAACACCGATTTGCAAAAATATACAAAGAGTGGCTTTGTAGCATTACATCGAAGGCCGGTCCGTCATCTTTTGCGCAAACATGCGCCGCGTCCGTGTTATCGCGCACGTGCTCTCGGCTCGGATTAAAAGTTTTACTTACGCGAGCGGACTGTGCGTTCATTTGTAAATACAGTCCACGTCTGTGGCACCTGTGTACAGTGTGCGGAAATGGGTGGGGGGAAGCGATTGACCAAGAGGCTGCGAATGAAGAGAACCAGCCCGGAGAGGGTGACAGCGATCCGACTCGCCTCGTCCGTCGCTGACGCACGACCCACGCGTGCGTCAGCGAACCTTGCGGAAGACTTATTGCCCAGCGTGTTGTATCTCATTGACGAAATTCGAGCAACCCGACACCGCAGTTTTATTTGTTTTGCTCCGTCCCACGACTCGTGAGACACAGAGGGGCCTCCGCACTGCCACTTGAGATGAAAACGGAACTCGCCCGCCCACCGCCGTCTTCTCTCGTGTGTGGCACGAGAGAAAAGTAAAAAGTCTTGAGACGTGTTATCAGTCGAATTCTCAAGTCTCTTCCACCGATCCAAGGAGGCGGTTAGATGCTCTATGGATCGCAGCGACGCCTGCCACGGTGTTGCACGGATGGTCAATTCGTCCGGTGACGTTCAACTGTTTGGTCTTCACCGCAGTCGCAGTTTGGCGATTCTTTGATCTTTCGCTAGTGGTAGGTGGGCACGTCTCCCACGCAGCCATTGGGACACGGTTTAGCGAGGTCCACAGTTGTCGTACTCCTCGCCCACCGCCACCTCCTTCCACCCCCCACCCCGACTTATGAACAGTTCGCTGTGATTCGACAGCTTGTGGACATTGGCGCTCCTCCACGGATGAAGAAATTGCGTGTAAATTGGCGTAGCAGCTTTTGGGAAAACAAGCGGCGTGTCAGATTCTGCGTAATGCGATAATGTACCCACTGTAGCAAGCGCGGCCTCTCTGCCAGGAGCCTCGCGTGGGGGTCATCGCGAGCCGCGGCCTGTGAAGAGGTCCTGAGAACGGATCGTTAGAAACGCCCTGCAGGTTTATGTTGCCTGCCGAGGCAGCCGCTTTTCACTACGTCCACGTGAATAACGTCGACACGGCTGGGACGTAGCTGGGTTGGTCAGAACGGCAGGAAAAATCATCGCCCTTGAGATCGCAAATCTCGCACATTGGCAGTGGCCGAGTGGGTCTCACCGCCAGGGTGTGTTGTCTTCTGTGGAGAGGCTGTCTCACACACGACGTGCGTAGCCATTTGTGAACCCACTGCTGGATAAGAGCCCCCCCCCCCCCCACACCGTGGGGGTCGTGGGGGGATGTTTGAGCATGCTTTACCACATTGGTTAGCGCGGTGTGGGGGGGTAGTCATCACGGATATGTGGAAAATGTCCCGGGTGGCTGAGGATCCCCAGTACAAACAAACAACCCATTTGCTTGTAGGAGCATGGGGGCAGTCGACGGTTGTTGTCGGTTGTTTGCACGCAGGGCACGGGGCGAGTTGCGAGTTGCGTTCACGTCGCCGTTCGGCATCTTTTGTTCACGTACATCGCAGCTGCCTCCTAGCGCAGCCCGGCGGTGCGCGTCGACGACATTCACGTGACCAGACCTTCATCCTTTCTCGAGTTAGATGGGCCCCCCTCAACAGCCCACAGTCGGGCACCGTTATGTCACGGGGGGGTGGGGGGGGCATGCCTGTGACGACGAGGGGCCACGGGAGGGAACGTGGCGCGCGACCGCAGAGTCGTCCGCTGTCGTAAACCCGTGCGAGTGTTGCATCAGAAGGCGGCCGGGGAGCAAAGTGGGCTGTGCGGCATTTGCTTAGAAAGAATGTCGACGCGGTGGGCTTCGTGGTCATCGTTAATTATTTACGGTGTGTGGCCACCCGAGTGTCGGGTTGTGGTAAGCACAATCGTGTTGACGCAATGTATGCGGAAAGATTATTTTGCTTTGGAGGGGCAGGCATTGTGGTCAAGGAATTCGGGGAAATGGAATGGTTCACTAGGTACAGGTCCGATTATGCTGTCAATGTCCTATGTACTAGAATTGTTGAAATGTGGATATTCGATCCGGCATTCAGAGTTCAACTTTAGTGCAATATTTGCACATTCTTGCTTTCCCTGTCCTCCCGATACACCCGTGCACTTTTAGTTTGTCGGTAACCAATAAAATCACCTGAATGACTATTTGCTTAAGTGAAATATCTGTCGAGTCATTTCGCCGTTTAGTGCTTTGAAGATCGTTGTTTGATCTTGTGCCTTACGAGTATGCGGCCGCTTCGTTGCAGAGTTCTGCTCTTCGGCGTGGCTGTCCTGTCGCTGTACTCGGTGCATCTCTTGCTGGTCACGTCGGACACTGCCGGTAAGCCGGCGCTCGTGGCAAACACCACAGACGCCAGACTCTTTGTCGACGTTGCAACAGTACTTGAGTTTCGAACAACACGCAGAAATGTGGAAAAAACACTCGGCCTTTGTGCACTTTCCGAGGGGGTGTCATCATTTCCTGAAGAAGTGCATTGTGGTCCTCTTGCTTAGCACGGTTGGCTACGTACGGTGTGGAAGAAGTTCAACATACATACATACAAGGCCACCATCAAAATAAATACAGGTTCCCCTTGCTAGATGCGGCAGTCGTGGATGCGTTCAAAAAAGTGGCTCGCAAAGAAAAACTGCACGAGACAGCTGCCTGCCGAGTCGCACACACTGTACACACAGTACACACACACAGTACACACACAGTACACACCATACATGGTACACACAAATGGTACACACACACACGGTACACACACACACGGTACACACACACACGGTACACACACACACGGTACACACACACACGGTACACACACACACGGTACACACACACGGTACACACACATGGTACACACCATACACACACATGGTACACACAGTACACACCACACACAGCACACACACAGGACACACCATACACACACATGGTACACACAGTACACACCACACACAGTACATACGCACACAGCACACACCACACACAGCACACACACAGGACACACCGTACACACACATGGTACACACAGTACACACCACACACAGTACACACACACACAGTACACACACACCGTACACACACAACACAGTACACACACACACAGTACACACATGGTACACACCGTACACACACATGGTACACACGGTACACACCACGCACAGTACACACGCACACAGCACATGCACAGGACACACAGTACACACACACAGTACAACGCTGTGCCATGTCCGACCACAAATCCGCATGTTGAGTGAATTCAAACCGCATAGAGCAAATTTTAGGTAGAAATTGTTTGGCCGCATTTACAGCGCGACATTGCACAAACAGAACCGACATTGAGCGAGGGAGGCCTGAATGGGTAAATGTGACCGACCTGACAGCAGCAGTGGTACAGGCTGCTTTCGGCCTCATAAGGATTCATCGGTACAGTACAGCCACGAATGCGACGCTGATGCAAAGTGTGCGTCGAGCAGCCATATACGTGGAGTCCCCACTCCCTCACTAAGGGGGGACCCATTAGCTTGGCTAATGGCAGCAACAGTGACATCTGTTATTTTATGTGGCTGCGCCGTGGTGACCGTGACACTGCGTTGGAACTAGTCGTTCTGTTTGTATGAATGCACATGTTTGATTGTGGGCGCGAACTTTGTCGAAGGATACGCACACGTGACGTTTGTGTGTGTGTGTGTGGAGTGGTACCGATGTTCTACTCAGTGTTGTAACATATGGCTGGATTGCTAGATCTCTGTCAAGGGCTGAATTTTAATGAAGTCAGCTGTACTTGGGTGCTTGTGAAACTCTGAACACAGACGGGGGAGGGGGGGGGGCGCCCTGTCTAATGAGTTCATTTTGTCCTGTGCTCATTGGTAACAGCCGTTCTCGCTGGTGATACCCACACTGCACCTCACCACAAGCGTTTGCCAATTGACTTACAGCAATTTACATTAAGCACTGGTCAGTGATCAAGCAAGAGGTAATTTAGATGTATATTTTTACATTGTTGTTACTTTTTAAAATGTACAGTCCTTTTGTAATTGGCACGGTTTTCTACGTATGGTGCGAAAGAAGTTGAACATACCTGGCGGTCATGGCAGTTGTTTGACGATCCTTCACCATGGTGGACCGTGTTGGTTGTTCAAGGGGTGGTCCAGAACCAGTTGAGATACAAGCTTCTCGGTGCAATTCACTCACCACCATTCTACGTTGCTCTGTCCTTTTCAGAAAATAAAATGTTTTAATCTACAGAAATACAAAATAAATAAATATCAACATCTAAAAAATGCATTCCTTCAAAACAATGTCCAGATACAGTCATTAGGAAGTTTGTTTTGGTGGTGACAAATCTTTGAGCAAAAACGTCACCCACTGCTCCATTTATTTTGTTGTTTTAGGCACAAAGTCGTACGAGCAGCTCGGCTTCCTTGCTTTCAAACTTCCTGGAAAGCTGTCTGCAGCCGGCGCTATCACCTTGCAGAATGTCGGAGGTGAGCTCATTGTCATTTCCGCTCTTTTTACCGCCTTCCGTTCAGGGAAATATTCGTATTTTTCCTAAAGCCCACCCCACTCGAGCATTTGAGAGCGCAGCAAGGTTTGTTGCTGAACCCCTGTGATCGCTACACCCCCCTTGTGGGTGGGGGGGTGGGGGCCTGGTTGTTGTGAAGGGGCCCTTTGGAGCCACGCTGGGTGTTTCAGATTCAACTCGGCACCGCCGCGTGCGCGTGTGTGCGCGCGTGTGTGTGTGCGTGCGCGTGTGCGTGTGCGTGCGTGTGTGAGGCTGCTGTTCAAATAAGTTGTGCTTTGTTGCCGGATTTGCAGTTCTCTGCTCGTGATGGTAATTCCACGTTCCTATGGCGAGGGCAAGTACAATTTCTAGGACGGCTACAAATGCAATGCAAATGTTTATAAATAGCATCCGCCTAATGTCCTTTTTTAATCTCCAAACGTAGATTAGGGTTAAATTTGTTGTTCTTTTTTAAGCACCAAAGTGGTTTGCCTTCAAACTTACTTCAGCCAACCTTGCAACGTGCAGTGAATTATAAAATCTCGTGTTTGGCATCCCTTGTTCTGCTGTCGTATTATACATTTGAAATAAATGTTATATATTTTTATAATTACTATTTTGCAAAGCCTCCAGAAATCCTCGCATTTCCCCGAACAGGCCACTGGTAATCTCCACGGTGCATCGACAGCCCCCGCGTTTGTCGAACCCCCTCGCTTTAAAGATGCAAATTAGAGCTCCTTTGCAGCGTGCTATTTCATTATTGATGCGCCCTTTTCCAGCAACGTGATGGAATTATTCCTTCCGCCACACGATATCATTTATCTTTGCCATTTTCTTTGTTCGTATTTTGTGAAGGCCTTTTGCCTACGGGCAATGCTGCTGTTATTTTTATTATTCCGCTATAGTTTGTTTTGTTAAGTATGTTAATGCGCGCGTTTATAATTGGGTACGTTAAACGGCAAATGCGGTGCCTCACGCCCCAACTCGATGGCCGAGTTTCATTCTCTGGCGCTTGCGCCCTCCTCTCGCGCGTTGTGTTGGGGGCAAGGCAAAAGTTGTGCACCTGTGGAGATCTCCTCCTGCGTTGAAGCGCCTCGAGAGACGTTACGCTCAAGCCCCACTTGTGCGCCGCGTGAAGCATTTGTTGAATTGTCGCCGTGCCCCCCCCCCCCCGACTTGTTTCCGCGCAGCCATGTCCAGCTACCTCTTCATCGTGAAGTACGAGCTCCCGGCGGTGATTCGCGCGCTGTGCGACCAGTCCGTCCTGGACGCCAAGTGAGTACCAGCGAGTAGCGGAAAGTCTCGCTGCCACGGGCCCGCGGCCCATTCGCTCACACGTCCACCTTGTATGCTCGTACGTACGTACGTTGAACTTCCATCGTACCGCACGTAGCTACTAACCGTGCTGATCGGAGGTGCGGGGGAAGGACGACAAACTAAACACAAAAAGCAGTTGTAACGAAATGAGTTTTAAATCTCGGTGATTTATAAATGCATAGCTCCAGTGGCTTCCTCGTGTCGGAAAGAAGAGCGTTCCGGACGTCTCCAGAAGTGCATCTGAGAGCGCCGCGCGATGCGGTGACCGTCTTTGAGTTCCGTCTTAAGTTCCGTCTTGAGTTCCGTCTTGAGTTCCGTCTTGTTGCTATGACGACATTCGGAAGCAATTCATCATGATCATCATCGTCAATCATGGTCCGTCCACTGCTGCATGAAGGCCTCCCCAAGCCCATGTCATCTCTCTCGATCCTGCGATGTAACGACCCACCTGATGTCATCATGCAAACTGATTTTATCGCTCCGTTTCCCCGGTTGGACGTTCCCTCGGACCCGTTCCGTCCCTTGACTGCCACTGCGTCATTAATCTTGACCATTGACATCTAATAAATGTGTACAGTAGATTAAGCATGCGTATACTCAATGAGGGTTTGCCGCAAAGGACTTGCCTTGTTAAACAAATAGTATTTGTGATGTGATGAGTTAAAATTCAGAGTTATGGACTGGCTCTTGCCGTGGGAATGTGGAATTTTCCACATTCCCACGGCAAGTATAGGGCCGCCAATGAAACAGATTGCCCCACAGTGTGACGCTCCTTTAAACGGAGAGTCACATTGACATATTTCCCTTCTAAATGCTTTCTGGGTAAATGGCAATCTGCTAACTACATAGCGAGTTTACCCGTGGTTCGTCGACAGTGTAATAAATGGGCACACTTTTTGTACTTTCAATAATCCAGAAACAAATTGGCCACTCGAATATAAACCTTGTGTGAGTGTGCGCGCGTAATGAGAGTGTCAGGGAGCTAATCAGCCGAGGACACTCCACCGTGAGGTCTGCACCTTGGGCATGCTATTCATTCACAACCCAGTGACTTGTTGGGCAAGTGTGATGGATAGCACTTGCCCGAGACTTGGCTTTCGGTGGCTTGGAAAGTGAGTCCCCCAGTCTTGGATGGTGCTGCCAATGTCACGGAACCCAAATGGGTTTACAGAAAATTAAATTGAATTCCGGTTTCTGCCCGATTGCTATTTACAGAGAATGATCGCCATGTCACGCACAATGGTGTTATCTTAAGAGGTGCACGTTTATAAGTATGGCATTCCTGACACCAGATGCGGAATTTATTGCTGGTAGTTTAATGTCATCTTGCAGATGGGCAACATTTACTTGCATATACGTTAATTGTCTTGTGATAATTCCATTGTGTGTCTTTTCCTTGTACCAACTGTCCATAGTTTAGCTGCTGTTGCTGCTGCCAAAGCACTAACCAACCACTTGCATTCCTGGTTATCACGAGATAGATGGGTAGATTGCCTAGCTTAGTTGGTATATTGACTAGGTTCATGGGTATATTGAGTAGGTTAGTGGGTCAATGGACGAGTTGATTTGGCGTCAGTTTATGAACACCGACTTTCAAGATTGGTTGGTACAACAAAGCTGCGCCGTCCTGAGCGGTGTTTTATTTTCATCTGGGTGTTAATATATTTGAAGAGCACTTTCTTTGGTTTGGTTTAGACGACGTATAATTTGCGGCAATGAACATTCGCTTGGCCATTCAACCGGTTGTTGTCTCCTCCTCGAATGGAGGCGACTGCGCAGGCCACGAGAAGGCAATGATGTCGCGGCGCCGCTGGTGGCAGCGGTGGCCATTCGTTGGGAGAGAGAGAATCGCCGCTTTTGTTTATCGTAGCCCAGGCACCAGGTGCCGTTTGGCGACACGGCCAAGCGCCGCTGCTAAGGAAGCCCCAACGCGGGAGATGCCGGCAGCCCGGACGTCCCGATGAGACGCTCGTCTCGCGAATGTTTGTTGAGACAATAATTGAGAATTTCCATTCAATGGTTGAACGCCGATAACTTCCACCAAGCACGGCCATCACATTTGAAATGTTCCCTGGATGGATCTTATTGTTGGCACAGCTTCTATCTAGTGTGTAATGTACAGCCATAAAACGTTGTTTTAATTGGAGCGTTGTATCATTCTAGTGCCATTGTGCACGACATCACAGTGATGAGTCCGCTTAGAATGCATATAATTATTTACCAACTTGCTCTTCACATTTGGGTTTTCCACATTTATAGCGTCGGCTGTCACCTGGCCCTTCTCACTCTCCCCAGGTAGCTTTGCCAAGCCGTAGAAAACATCTCTTCTTGCTGGCGCGACGATTGAGCTCCCTTTAGTGCAACACGATCCACGGGCAGCAGCAGCAGCAGATGCAGCAGCAGCAGAAACGCTAGCCTGGCTTTGGCATTCCGTTTTATCCCGCAGGCTTAACACTTCCAGCCACGGGCGTTTAGCGAGGTGGAGAGGCTAACTCTGTCTGAGCATCGCAAGTATAGGGCGGCCAGAAACCCGTTCCTCGCTCTCTGGCATTGCAGTATTAAGTTGTAACAATAATGTCTGACCTTGTAGTGCCACAGAGAGAATGCTCAACTTGTAAGAGCAGAGGGCATGAGTTCAATACCCGGTTGGGAGTCGGCCCAACCCCACACCTCTCTATTCTCAGGTCGAAGAAATTAGTTCCACTTTGAGGAAATCAATGTTGGAAATTAATAATAATAGTAGTACAGATAGTCCCCGAGTTACGATGGTCCGACTTACGATATTTAGATCTTACGATGGCGATAGCCATACGACAAAATTGTAAAATATTTTAAATTTCGCGCGGCAGCAAACGCAGCAGCGTACGAGGTACGATACTGTACGTTGGGACGCTGCCAGGATGTACTGTACGCATCTCCCGCCTTGTGTGGTGATGCCTCTCACTCTCACCAGCGGTCGACAGAGTTAAGTTGTCTCGGTGTTAGCGCGTGTTAAAAGTTCATATAGGTAGGCTAAGAATGTACCTTGTTTTTTTTACTTTACATTTTACTGTGCAATACAGTATTGTAATTAATAAATACATACAGTATATAGTTTATACAGTACGGTCCTGTAAATTGCTTCTGTTTTGCTAAATTATCACCGTTCTTTAAGACTCGTGGGTAGGCTAGGCCATCTTCGACTTACGATGGGGTCGTCGTAACGCCTCTCCATCGTAAGTAGAGGACTACCCTGTAATTTATTTTACCAATGCAGGGTCTTGCATTGGGATATTTGGCATGGTTAGTTTCAAGTGACGATGTTTTATTGCTGGTACAAACTAAGATACACAAAGAGAAAGGGAACAGCACTCAAAGATCCACAGAGACGTATTTTGTGACACCCACTTGCTGCGCTGCCATCTCCCCGCCTCCTGTGGGCAGCCCCAGTTTGGGAGACGGACACGATCCGCCAACCTTCACCCACACGGGGACCACACAAACGCGCGACAGTCTGTGCTCCGCGCTAGCGAAGCCCTGTGACTTGTTGGTGGGTTGCTATGGGAAGGTGCAAGTTGAAGTAAACCAACTTCGCCGGGCTCAGCCCACCACGTGCTGGCAGCCCCGGCGGGTTTTTTTAGTTTCGCAAACGTACGCGATCCTCCAACCTGTTGGATCGCAGGCGTGGGACCGCGCAAGCCTTGACGGTCTGTCCGCACTGCTGGCCTCAAGTCCCTTCGACTTCTATCCAGGATGGTGCCCTGTCGCTTAGGGAAGGGAGAGTGGTGGAAGGAAAATATAAATTTGTAAAAAGCACCGGGCTCGTCCCCACCGTGCCCTGGCAGCCGCGTGCGTCGGTGAGCCGTGCGCTATGCGGGGAATCTGTAACTGAGACGCGGTGGTGGGGGGGGGGGCGATTGAATTCTGCTTGCGATCGCTCGCTCGCGACGCGACGTGACCCCGCCTTGGCCGCCTGGCCACCGGGGGACGCAAGGCGGTGCTGCCACCGCGGGGTAAATGACCCGGAGCGGTAGCGGTGATGGCCGAGACTCTGCAAGTGCACTTGGGTACGGTAACGGTGTAATGGGGGACTGGTGGTGGCTAGATTTACACGTGATTTGTGACATGGTTTACCACCCCATGAAGGCGTCTAGACAAACTCCACTGCGGTCTGCTCTGTTTTAAAACGTTAGTTGGCTTTGTTCATACCGTGTTGATTGTTTTCCCCATATGGAGCATGATTGAACGTCTCATTTGTCTTTGGTCTGGGTGCGTTTCTGTGTGGATGTGCATGCGTGCACCTCGCTGTCGTGGTGGCTTAGTGGGTAGCACACGCCCAGTTAGATCCCAGATTACACGGCTTTAACTCTGGCCAAGCAGACCACGACTGACAATTAGATTCTGAATCTGACCTTGCCCTGCCCCCTAAGGTTAATAGAGGCTAAAAAAAATTTTGGTGGTGTTGAAACCTCGGGTAGTGGAGAGAGACAACAGCAGCCATGCCTGGCGCTGGAGACTGCCCCTCTCCCGCCTGCTGTATCAACTTTAACAGCCACTTTAATTAATAATTTTGCGTGAGCGAAGCTACGAGGATGCTGTTTGTCTTTGTGCGTGTCGAATACACGGCACTCGCAGCCCTCGGTGTTATATAATAATCACCATCTGAAATAATCTTTTAAGTATAAATAAATTGCATTCACATGTGCATTTGCTTATAGTGTCCACCCTCATCGCGCCTTCCGTTGAGAGCTGTCGTGATGATTAACGGTGCTCTTGATATTGACCTGGCCGCGGTCACGCGCTCGCTCCGCGATCGTCACGCAGGGGACAGGCACTCGCGTTATGAGCTATTTCTTGCACCGTCCGGATCTGCTGCCTGCCTGGCTGCCTTGTTTGTATATGGTATGAGGGTTAGCCCCAACACACGGGGGTGACGGGGGGGGGGCTCTGTAACGAGAGCCCAACCCATACCCCCACCGCACCCAAACTCCAATCGCTGCTCCGCCTCCTCCTCTCGCAAAAGTAGCGTTTCTCTCGTGCATTTACCGATCGGTCTCTCGTTCTAACGCAATTGAAATCTTGTGTTCTCAGTCCCTGGTATCTGAATGGAAACTACTTGGTCATCCTCGTGAGCATCGCGATCATCCTCCCCCTCTCGCTCATGAAGAACATCGGTGAGTCCAGGATTTTTGCGTTGCCGTTTTTTCTTTTCGTCGGTTGGTGGGCCTGCCCGGCGCATCGGCGCCCTTCTGAAGGTGACCCGGTAACGGTGCGGAGCCGGGGGGGGGGGGGTAACGGGGACCACCGCACGTGGCAGGTCGGGGCACGAACCCTGGCTTTGGCAAAGCGGTGATGACGACGCCCCACCGCTCCCGTGTGATTTGGCTTCCGCAGTCGGTTCGTGTTGAGCCAGGAAATGTGAAAGCCACATTTATATTTGGCACCGTACTGGGGAAAATCCAGCAAGGGGCTGATGCGGTGAGCCGCTGCTGCTGCTGCTGTGTTTAGCCAGAGTTCAAAGCTATGAATCTCAACAAAATCGTGCATGAACACATCTTTGAGGGTTTACGTAACCGGCACATGAACATGCGTGAAACTGAACTGTCAAATGAGCGTTGATGCCATGTTTTAGTGAAGTAATTATGTTTTTTTTCTCATTCACAGGTTACTTGGGATACACAAGCACCTTCTCCTTGGCCTGCATGGTGTTCTTCCAAATAGTGGTATGTATGCCTTTCTTATTTTAGTAATAAAATAAATAAATGACAAGTTCGTTCATCTGTGGTAGAAAATGCTTTGAAAACAAAACAAACGTAGAGATCTCATCGTGCCTTCTGTTATTGGCCCCAATCATTCCGTTCATTCACTGCACACAATAGCAACTTAAAAACGCACTCTCATCAGGCATCTAAACTCGCACGGCACGTTGCCGCATTGGTCAAGAGCGCCTCTGGCTTCATTTGTCATCGGTTAGTCCGGCCTCGCAGCTATCTACACCGGATTCACGTATATATATTTAATATCCTCTCTCTTTACACACGCAAGACAATTTCGGTACGCGGATATCCTTTTGGTGATTCGGCTGAGACGGATATAGTCGCTCGCCGGCTGGCTGCGACGGCCCCGTCACGGAAAACCATGACCCTTGGGGGCTTTGACCCAAGATGCCGAGCTCGCGCTCGCTCCTGTGGACGTGAGCCACCGCAGAGCCGGTTGCCCCGGTACCCGTGAATTTTAACGCGGCAAAGTGGCGGCAGCAGCGGCAGCTGCGACTGGAAGGCGTCGCCCGGCGTGCTCCACCGGGTTTGACGCTCGTAATTCCACGCCCGACGACGATGTGCAAATCGCCCGAATGCACTCGATCTCATCGTAATCTAAGCGGAGTTGAGGCTGAACAGTACTCGCACGCGTGGACTGCCCCTGGATATACCGAAGTGTTGCAGGTGCGGGCTGTGAGTTTACCAAGATGTTGCGTTACAGCGGTGTATTCTCGAATACGCCTGTGCGTAGCCTTGAGTGTTATTCCCTTGTTATCTATATTTAACTCTCGTTTCCTTCCACATCTCACAACACTCCTTATTAGGAATTGGTCAGCCAACCCATTGCAGACACCTCATGGAAAAAAAAAACTCTGAATACTTCTCTTCTCAGTGAGACTTTTCCACAATAAACTTAGTGAATTATTATTATTTTCTATTCTATTCTTGCATATGGCAATATTCTGGAGCTAAATTCCAATGTCGCGGTCCGCACCTTCGACGACCACGGCCGGCTACGTACGGTGCGAAAGAACTTCAACATACACAGAGAGAGAGACAGAGAGAGTCTGTATAGTTCAGCTGTTCCTCCTCCGTTGAAGGAACGCAGACTACGGTGATTTACTGCCCGGTCCGCAGTTTGGGTCGCACGGCCGCAATCGCGCCAACCGTGACCAAACGTAAGAATGTTTCCCCGCCCCCTTCCGTGCGCTCCGTCAGATCATCTACAAGAAGTTCACGCTGCCGTGCCCGTTTGAGGACGAGGCGGAGAACGTGACCTTCAACGGCACGCTGCACGGTCCGGCGCACGGCGTGGAGAAGCTGTACACCAACGGCGAGGTTCACGGCAGCGGCGACCTCAACGGCACGCTCGATGACTCCTGCACAGCCAAGTACTTTGTGTTCAACTCGCAGGTGAGTTCAACACGCCGTGGTGGTGGTGGTAGTAGCGGGCTTCACGCGAACGATGCTGTTCTCACAGTAAGGGTTTTATGGGTTAGATCATGTAAATGTCGTACGCGATTTGTGTTTGTTATGGGTTTATTCTCCAACACACCGGTGTGCTGAACTAGTTATTGATTGCCACGTTCTGTTTACGTGATACACCTCACTAGTTGGCTGTGTCGGGTGGTGGCAGTTTAACGACACATATTTACGCGATTTCACCCAAAAAACCTCTGATGTATAATATTAGTTGCAATTTAGTTACTAGTTCAGCACTAACCTGTTGTGTGTTGGAGAGTAAACGCACTACAACATTTACAATTTGCATTCCACTATGAGAGCTGTGCGGCTGGGGCCATGGCCTTGTGTGTGCGTGCGTATGCGTGTATGCGTATGCGTGTGCATGTATGCGTGTGTGTGTGTGTGTGCGTGTGTGTTTGTGTGTATTTGTGTGTGTGCGTGTGGTGTGTGCGCGTATGTCTACCGCTGTGTCGGGCCATGGGAATGTGGAGTTTCCACCACTGGCTAACTCGGTGACGCCATCGGAAATGAGAGCCGCCCCGTGTTTGTTTTGAACATTGAGAAGGTTTGACTTGGCCGTATTATATTTATTTATGTATTTATTTATTTATTTCCATCAGGCTTCCTGCTTTAAGCTTGCTGACTTTTAGAAGGAGAGCTGACATTTTCGGTTTGTTTTATTACCGATAAAATGTCACGCAATGCGTTAGCATTGTAATAGAAACGTGAACATAGAAACAACATCCTTGTCTTTAATAACGAATATTGCCTTTTTCTAAGTAAAAATATATCAACAGTGTTCTGTGCAGTGGCTCTTCTTCAGATCTGTAGGAGGCAGAAGACTGGGCTTGCCGTCTTACAAGGGAACCAATTTAGTAATTTTCTTCATTTCATTGTCAACGTGCAGTTGATTTACTTTTATTTTGACCTTTACCAATACCAGGTTCCCCTCGCTTAATGCAGGGTTGGGTTGTGTGATTTTGCGTACATATGCGGATAACTTATTTCCTAACAATATCGTCTGTATGCGATTTTAATTCCCCCACATGCAGTGGGACGTTGTTTATGTACTCTGTGTGTGTACTGTGTGTGTACTGTGTGTGTACTGTGTGTGGTGTTTGTGTATTGTGTGTGTACTGTGTGTGGTGTGTGTGTACTGTATGTACTGTGTGTGTGTTGTGTGTGTACTGTGTGTGGTGTGTGTACTGTGTGTGTACTGTGTGTGCGACTAGGCAGGCAGCTGCCTCCTCGTGCGGTTTCGCTTCATGCGCCCTTTTGTTTTAACTCCTCTCCTCCTCCTACCGCACACAGCGGGAGAAACCTGTATGTATCCAAGTAGTCCGTTGACTTTTACAACGTACCTGTGCGAACTGTTTAACTGCTCTGTCAAGCCGACAGGATGCCGAGCTACGTGTTTAAAACCGCCAACGTTATTGCGCCGGTGTTTCGTGCGTCTTTTTTTTTTATAGACGGCGTACGCAGTGCCCATCCTGGCGTTTGCGTTCGTGTGCCACCCCGAGGTCCTGCCCATCTACACCGAGCTCAAGAGGTGCGTCGTCAGCGCGCATAATGCCCCCGCCGTTGCCCATCGCTGCGAATGAAGCGCCACGCGGCTCGACCCCGTTCGCGGAACGAGAACGGCGGTCCCACGTGTTTATTCTTCCTTGGAATGGCTTTCAGATTTGACGTAAAACTACGTGGCGTATACGAGCTTTGGTTTCTGTTCATGCCGGCGACGTTGGTTAAACGTGTGTTTGTTCATTATAAATGTGTCTTTATCTTGACACTGCTTTGGTTTACATAAAGAATGGGACGGTGGACTTAATGTGGTTTTGACAACGGGGCCGTAAGGCATCATTGCCCATTGCACAGCTGTCTGTCTTAGCCTCATTATTGACCGATCGACAGGTGGGTGGTTGATTGAAGGCATTTGTCGACGTCAATGTGCACACGTCCGCCACACCCCGTCCCTCGTAGCTGTCCGCTCCTCGCCTGGGCAGCGTCTCATCCGCCGCTATCGTCGCGGGGGTTGGTTGACTGGAGGGGGCTCACCCCCCCCCCCCCCCCCCCGCTCATGGCTCAGCCTCCCTTCTAAATTATTTGAACCGAGTGATTGGCCGTCTCGCGCGCTGCTGAGTTGGTGGATGTTCCCCCACCGCCACCTTTAAACGGAGTCACGTGACACGGGAGGTTTCTGGGAGTGCCCACGTGATGAGCCACTTTGTAGCTCATCGGATTCCTCCAGTATAAGCGTGGCTCGCCCCCCGTGTCTCACCCCCGTGGCTCACCCCCCGTGGCTCACCCCCCGTGTCTCACCCCCCGTGTCTCACCCCCCGTGGCTCACCCCCCGTAACTCACCCCCCGTGACTCACCCCCCGTGTCTCGCCCCCCGTGGCTCACCCCCCGTAACTCACCCCCCGTGGCTCGCCCCCCGTGTCTCACCCCCCGTGTCTCACCCCCCGTGTCCCGCCCCCCGTGGCTCACCCCCCGTAACTCACCCCCCGTGGCTCGCCCCCCGTGTCTCGCCCCCCGTGGCTCGCCCCCCGTAACTCACCCCCCGTGACTCACCCCCCGTGGCTCACCCCGCGTGGCTCACCCCGCGTGGCTCGCCCCCCGTGGCTCACCCCGCGTGGCTCACCCTGCGTGCGTGTCTTCTCCGCCTCAGGCCGACGCGTGCGCGCATGCAGCAAGTGTCCAACATCTCCATCTTCTTCATGTTCATCATGTACCTGCTCACCGCCGTCTTTGGATACCTCACTTTCTACGGTGAGTGCCGAAGCGAACAAACCCTGCGGGGCGCTCTGCGTTTGTTTGTGTCTGACTACAAATTGGTGCTTTATGGAACGTGTTTGCATGAATGGCCGGATAAAAACACAGACTTAATATGTTTCATTGGTATTATTGTCCACCAATACTATCTTGTAAATGTAAAATAAAGCGACCATGCTCAAATTTTTAATACAAAATGCCACTTCCCAAAATCAGATATTTTTTTCTGGACTTTCTTGGATGTTTACCACAAAAGGATGTCACGGGGACCAGTTTGTCCCGCCGACTTGCAAGAGTTTGGCGCGTCGTTAATCAGCGATGCGCATCCTTCATCATTACTCCCACAAACCGTCAAGGATGCTCATCACTTAAAGGCGTTATAATCGCGCGTCCGATTAGCACGGTTTGCTACTTGGGGTGCGGGTGTCGCGAGTCTCACGACAGCGGCGATGATGTTGACGGCGGCGGTGGTGGTGACCGTTGTGCTCCGCTGTGGTCGTCATGCAGAGAACGTGGAGCCCGAGCTGCTGCACACCTTCCTGCACAGCGACCCCTACAACCTGCTCATCATGCTCGTGCGCCTCGCCGTGCTCGTGGCCGTCACCCTCACCGTGCCCATCGTGCTCTTCCCGGTGAGGCCCGGCACCTCTCCCTCGCCACAGCTCCTCCTGCCTTCTCTCTCTCTCTCCGTCTCTCGCTACGGCCTCCTCGTCCGCGCCCCTTGAACACCGGTTACCTTCGAACGCCCCTCGTGGTGCACAGCGCGCCTGCGAATGCCGGGCGGCTGACCGAGCGGCGTTGCGCTGGAGCTCGGTGGTTTTCTCATGCATCGGGGTCTTTCTCGAGCTGGGAAAAGGTTGCCGCTGCAGCAATGTGTCGAGGCAAGTGCGAGGCGTTGTTTGTCCGTCTTGTTACCTGCTGACGCAAACCCCTTTAAATGAGTTGCGTACCACATTGCACTGCGTTTTTTAATGTGTACATTTCTCCAATTGTCTGCGTTAACACCGGTTGAAAGGTAAATAAACGCTCGTGCCAGTCACTGGAGCTAAATCTTGATCCCGCATTCGGCCCGGATTCCTAATGAGCACTCTCGGCTTCCGGTGACCACTCCACAGATTTGATTTCAAAACAACGACACCTTGGGCAGTGCGCCGCTTGTTACTGGCCGCTTGGCGTCTCGGCAAAGCGTGACTTTAAAACCCCGCGCTCCTCTGTCAAACTGGGGGACGCGATGGTGGCAGTGGCTGGCGGCCCAGGCCCCCCCCCCCCCTTCTGCCCTCGTCTTGGTAAAAAAATACCCCACCACCACCACCACCAGCTGCGCCGGTCTTCTTCTGATTGCGCCAAGCGAGAGTGAAACCCCCTCGCTTTCAAGTTTCACCGATTTTTTTTTTTTTTTTTTTTTTTTTTTTTTTTGCCAGCGCCCGTTCCGCGCCGCCCGTTTTGGTAACACAAAGCAGACGGCGGTCACCGGGGCGCCGTGCTGCGGGCGGTGTCGAGCGAAGCGCACTCACTCGCTCGTTTGACTTAGCCGCTTTAGTACGCGGTGCCAAAACTAAAACTAAACTCTTTAGTATTTGACCAGGTACGGCCCACTGAGCTATGTAGCTCTTTTTCAGAAGCGACCTGGCTGTCCCAAATAATAGCTCAACAAAGCGGCTTGTCGTCGTGTGGACATTTATAGCAGCCAAATACTCGTAAAACTCGTGGTGTCATTCTAAATGTGGAAAAAACACCGGAGGACCCGGAGCAAAATTTACGCGACCACGGGGAGAGAGACACGCAAACTGCAAATACACAGCAGCAGGCGTTAGGGTCAGGATCGAACCCCCACCACGACCTCCTGGAGACCAGGCGAGGTAGTTAACATCTCCTAGCCACCGTGGTGCCCATATGGTCTGGGAGTAGAGGAGGACGCGAGTGTCACGTGACAGCATGAAGAGCAGGCCACGAGTCGAGCTGTTTGTTTACTCGCAGAGTGCTGGAACAACGGATGTTGTTTGTTTCGCGACCGCCTGGGCCTGCGCCCCCCCCCCCCCCCCCCCGGCCATGCTGTGCCGTGTTGGGGTTGTTGGTTTGTCGGCATGGGTCACGGAGAAGTTGACGTCAAGGGGAGGAGTGGAGGGGGGGGTCGCGGCCCTGCTCCTCTCGTAAACAACCAGCAGGGAAGAGCTTGTGAAATAAAGCGGCACGTTTTCATCTTCAGAAGATTGGCGATTTTGTTTTAAGTTTTTTTTTTCTCTTTCATTAAACGTCAGAAGGGTGTTGTCATCTGAAAGAGTATTCGTGTGGAAAAAAAAAACCTAAAAACCGTTGAAGGTAAAGATGGATCCGGTCGAGAAATACCCAAGGTAATTACGTAGGCGTTGGGTCAAGGTGCGGTTGGATTTACAGCACTCGCCAAACCCGAAGCGGCTGTTGCCACAGGAAGACGCTTGGCATGAATAATAAATGGGTTGTGTAAAATGGCACGCTGCTCTATCTGGAATCTTGTTTTCACGGTGGTCCCAGTGGTAAGTGTCGTGTAGTCTATGTTGTTGCTGTACAGTTTATTACGCACACTCAACGCAGCGCAACACCCCCGCCCATTTGTTGGACGGGTCAACACATTTTTAATATCTTCATTGCCACGATCTATTCACTGCTGGATGAGGACCCCCCCAAAGTCTTTGCCATTCTCTCACGATCCTGGGCTGCAGTAATCCGCCCAAGGCCTTGTGCTCGACTTGATTTCATCATTCCATCTTCTCGGCAGACGTAACCCTCAGAACGCGTTCTGTTCGTTGGCTGCCAGTTTGATTAACGCATTCATTAAAATAAATAAACTGGCACAAAGACATAATACAGTTTCACTCCTTGAAGAAACTTTCCACGAAAAGAGAGCGAACGGTGCCGTTAGCGCATACTAACGTCAGGTCATTTCCTTGCAAATTGGCCCCGCAGGCAATTTTGCAATCCCGTGGGGTCGTGCGCAGCGGTCGGGAATCCTCCACCGAGATGACCTCGCTAGAAAGGCAGCAGCAGCGGCAGCAGCAGCGTTGTTGTTGTGCTATCGCAGACGGCGGGCGTTCTATTTTGAGAACAAAGTAGCAGAAACGTGTACTGATGCGATCGTTCGAACCTGCACAAAGCTTCTGGGGAGGCGAATGCAGTTCTGCGTTAATAAATTGGCAGCACTGGATGCGGCGATGGCAAGAATGGCGATTTGAGGTTATCATGTGGCACGCCCGAGCTATTTAAATTGTTTGCAGCTGGATACTCTGGTAAAGAATTGAGTTGTGATGTACGTACTTTAAAGTTTTCGTCGCGTAGCCTTTGACAGGAGTGTGCACTTCTAACATATTAACTTTCGAATGTATAATTCGTTTTAAAAAATTACGCCAAATATCCGTTTCGTAGCAAAGTTGCTTCCATTGGTGAAACAAATGTATCGCGTTGCGAGTTGGCAACGCGTGCGTCGTGAACGGCGCCCACACGACAAGGATTCTCATTGCGAGCGATTTGAGCCACGTCCTTCCAGATTCTAAGCGAAATGTGAATCTACAGAAACACCTGGAGCCACTGTGAGTGGAGAAAAAGCAAATTCTTTTCAGTTGTATCCTTTTGGACCATTCACAATCGTGCTTCGTTTCAGATTTAGAAATGAGTACTAACCCATTATCGTTCTTGGTATTTGTTGTTGTGTCTGTATATATTCATGTTGAAACAAGAGTATTCCTTTAATCTCAGGAATTGCAAGCCTCCAGTATGCTTGCTCACTTTACGTTGCACGGATTGAACCGGCATGCAGCCCTTTACGCAACGCAGTTGAGCACGGCGTAGATGAGTGGAAGCGGTCTGAGTGGGTGTCAACCCGAGTGACCCGAGTGGGGGTCTGCCCGAGTGGGGGGGGGGAGGTCGCCCCGAGTGACCCGAATCTGCCACATGGGGGGAGGAATTGAGCAAAGTTCTTGAGAGCGGTGGCAGCAGTAGCAGCAGTAGCGACGACGGTGGAGTGACGGAACGCGTCTTTGTGATCGCCTCTCCCTCTAGATCCGCTCGTCCGTGGAGGAGTTGCTCTTCAAGAACAAGCAGTTCAACTGGATCCGCCACATGGCCATCGCTCTGTGCCTGCTCGTGTTCGTCAACATCCTGGTCATCTTCGTGCCGACGATCCGTGACATATTCGGCTTCATCGGTGAGTCGCCGTTTTCATTTCGACGCGACCGTCTTGCCCATCCGCATGCGCAGCGCCTACCGCTGCACACGCCGCCGCCGTGTCTCTACAGTCGTGTGCCGCTGACCCTGAGACTCGCCCGATATTTCGGACAAATACTTGGCCGCAGATTAGGTTTTTTTAATGAACGGCGTCCGTTGGAGACGGTTGAATGATTAATGGCTTGTGGGGTCGCCAGACGCACAAATCGGTTCTTAGCGGAGGTCGTAAAATTGATGGGAGAACGTTGACCGCCACCATGGACAACGGTGGAGGAAAGGGAGACTGTGATGGGTTGGACACGCGACACGAAACGGCGGTGGAAAGGAGAGGGTGTGACCCCAGGGCAATCGGGTGACAAATGTGAGAACGTGGACCGATAAGCGGATACCAGGCCTGGCAAAGACAGCAAAGGGATTGGCAGAAGTGGAGAGAGGTGACAGCAGCAGCATCGGTGGTGCCCCCACAGGCGTGGCAGTGAAGGGAGAGATGATGGTGACGACGACGAGGATGACGATGATGATGATGCGTAAAGTTTTGAGTTGGCACCACTGAGAGTCTGTGTTCAAACCCCAGTTGCCTACTCAAGATTGAAAATACGTTCTCGTTTCTTTCAACATCACTGAATTTGCCAAAAAAAAACGCGTGGAAACTTGTTTCTAGATTTATCCGGTCTAGTACAGCTCGGCAGATGTAAAATTGCGAATGTAACATTAGGGTGGGAACCACTCGTCAGTCTCGTTGGGAAGTCCACTGTCGTCGTGCTGGTAACAGAGACCCATTGTAGGGATGTCGCACGAAAGCCACTCAGTGGGTGTCATCATCACAGTGGCCCTGATGTAAGTGTTCCGAATTGCGTTGTCGCCACCATTGTCTGTGCCCTGATGCAGGTAATGCGCAATTGGGATATAATTTGTAACAAGAAAGGATGTCCTTGCGGTAAATGGATGGAAGAGTCTACCGAACCCTGGCTATAATTTCCGCTCGTGTGCGTAACGGCTGCAGTTTTTTAGAGTGCTCGCTCCGTGACTCGTGCTGATGGTTGGGCTTTTCTGGGATTTTTTTTCTCTTTACAGGGGCCTCTGCTGCTACAATGCTCATTTTCATCCTCCCGTCCGCCTTTTACATCAAGATAGTCAAGAAATACCCATTCAAGTCCAAGCAGAAGATCGGAGTAAGTTTTGCACCCAAAAAGAAACTAACAGTGTTTTCTTCACGAATTCAACCGCAATGGCTCCACCGTCATGACATGAAGCTGTCTTGTTTATTGTGTCTCGTTTAAGCAGAGCACGCACGCTCATATTCATTTAAATCCTTTTGACGCATGCAATGTACGTGGCAACTCCCTTCGGTAACGGTTTGCAAACGCCGGTTTATTAAACATTGCAAGTTGCTGGCAGAGCGGGTACTGATTAGTCGGCAGTGTTCTGTAATTGCGAGTCCCCAGTGTGATAAAGAGTACTTATGTTCCATACCGCCGGTGTGCTGCTACCTCTGCGGTAAAGTGAACACTCGGACCACCGTGACCTGGTTTGCAATCAGTAGATAATTTGTATACCGAGGCCATAATAAGAATGTGCATTATTTGAAAATGAGCTATAGTTGCAGAGTTACCATAAGTGTTAATTGTAAATTAGTAACAAATAAAAAAGAGTAGGGCCAATTATCAATGCATTATCGGATGAAGGCCTCCCCACACCGTTTGGTCATGTTTGACCATACTTCACCACCCTGGTCAGTGGTATGTTGCTCGCCACTGATGTAGCTGCATGATCCAGTCCACCATCGCCTCACCCGCCGTAGTAGTAGCAGTAGTAAATAATAATAGTTGGACATTGGCGAAGAGTGCATTGAGACAAAAAGTATTTTTTAACGCGAGGCCTGGGGTAGAATGTGAGGCCAAAACGTTGAGTGCAAAGACCGGTGCAAAAATACGACAAAATGTTAACGTTGTGAGCAGGAAAAAACCCACCAATTATCTCCCAGTAAAGCCACATTTTCACTTCACGCACATTTGGAGTAGCCGCTTTATTTACCCGCGTTACCTTTTGCCGTTTGCATTCTCGCCGTCCGAAAATCTGTAAGCGAAGCCGATGACCGAGCGAACCGCGCGCAGATGACAACCCGACACGTGGTCACATCGCCCTCCGCGTTTGAACTCGCCGTTCGGCGGTGCGTGTGTGCGTGCGCGTGTGCGCACGTTCCTAACAGCCCCGCTTTTGACTCGTCCCGCAGGCCTTCATATTCCTGGTGTCCGGCATCTTCTTCATGTTCGCCAGCATGGGGCTCATCATCTCCGACTGGGTGCAGCAGGCGAGGGGTGCCCACTGAGAAGGGGGCGGGGGGCAACTCCCGTTCCGCTCGCAGCAACAGAACCCCCGCCGCCTCCCCAGCCGCCCTGCCGTGCATCGCCATCCCAGAGCCATCCCAGAGCCATCCGAGACCAAACCGAGCGGGGACGGACCCCCCGAGCAAGACGTCGGCCGGAAAAATCTCCCTCCGCCAGCCGGGCAACCTCGGCGATCCCAAACCCCCCCCCCCCCCCCCCACGCGGAGCGACCGCCACCGCGCCCGCCACCGCGCCCGCCACCGCGCCCGCGCCACGGCAACGGCCGTCTTGGTCAATGGCACACGCGGCGCCACCGCACGCTCTGCGAGCGATTTCTGCGCGAGTGTTTGGGGGCGTGACGCACGACCCCCACTACCCCCCCCCACCCCGCACCGTTGGGACCGTTTCACTCGCCGCCGCCGCCGTGATGGGGCAGGGCCTGAGCGACCCGCTTGCCCGTACGGCCCTTTCTGGACTCGGGCGATGCTTTTGAAAAGCGAGGAAGAGGCGATGCTGCTGCAAGTGTGACCCTAGAGAGACTGGAAACCCGCAGAGAAGAAGAGCTCGACACGTGGCATCCTGAGCTACCCGTAGTAGTAACACAGTGTTAGCGGTTATTCCCGTGACTTATTACCTTTTAGGATTTGAGTTATTTTCTTTTTAGTTTTTTTCGTCATCGTGTCTCGTTTAAAGGTTTGTTCAGCTCACGACTCTCGTTTCGCCGGTATTCATTTCATCATGTGGTGCAGGTGGGTTGGTAAATGAAGGCAAACGTAGTGAACTGGCGTGCTTTGCCAGTTAATAAAGAAAACGATAGCCTTGTGTTATCGACTTTGATATTAGCAGGGCTTGCATTATCATACAGACACCAAGTCCTTTCTGTTTTTCGTTTCGTGAAAGGGGCTTACACGCCCCATGTTTTAAATAACAACAACAATAACAATTGTAACGATACTCTGTGGGGGCGTACAGGCACTTGTATCAACGTGCAGATGGAGGAGTATTTAACGCTAAATGTGCCGACCTCTGCATTACATGTTTTTGGTCCGTGCACTATCGTCTTCCAATTTTTCAAGGCTGTGGCCAGCGTCCGTGCCGACCTTTTGGCGCGACTTCGGGAGTGGAAACCCCCTCGCCTGGGGGTGGGGGGGGGGGCGGGCGGGGGGGACATTCACGAAGACATCCCGACTGGGCCGCGTCAAGTCGAGTTTCCCCGCTGCGGAAAAAAACTTGAACAACTGTCGGCGGAAATGCGATTTAATGCTGCAGGTTATCAAACAGTTGGCCAGGTTCTGTGACTTTACTGCTGCCATAGTTCCGGTTCACAATTGCAAGACTCAAGACGGCTTTTTTTGTTTTTGTATACAATTGCTGCTTTCACGTCGTTCTCTTGTAGTGTTTCATTGTGCTTTGACTATTCTAGATAAACTCCAAACGCTATGCCTTAGACAGTATTTAACTAAGCTATTTCAAACAAAACCGTTTAGCTCTTTTTCTATATACACTTAAGACGTATCTTAGCTCTAATCTTACGGACTATATCGCTTAACGATTTTGGTAATTAACTCGGTCTTTATTTTCTGATATACTGTAGCTCATTTTGTTTTTGTGCTTTAGTTGGTACTGTTTGAATGTCGGCTCACAACCTTCAGCAATCGTTAGTACATTGTAAAATAGCCACTGGTCGACGTGCATGTTGGTATCGTTTGTACATATTGTAAAATACGGTGCTGAATCATAAAATTAGGGCGTTTAAATGCAGACGCACATTCGTCTCTGCATTGTTCTACATCTGGAAAATAAAACCGGTTTTTTTTCATAGTATCTTTATACTACCTTAGCAAACTCGGTCTGTTCAAATTATAACTAGCGTAAGCGTCCATTTCACTGTGTTGTCCATCGATAACGCGCAAAAATCTACTTGCAACTACAGCATTGCCAAAGTTAGTGACTTCGCGTGGAGCTACGGATTAATATCGTACCTGGGCGATGGTTCCCTTGCAAACCGCATCATCCCATCCGTAAGATTATCCCTAGGCTAGTCGTAACCTCCTGCATCGTGGTGTTCCCAGAGTTCCTCCTGCCATTGGACGTTCCTCTCGAGCCATCTACACAGGCCTAGCCGTAGTGGTGAAGTACTACACACCGACTTATTGGGCTGGGATCTCGTCGAGTCTCGGGCGCGGTGCGATTTGTCGGCGGCGGCGGTGCGGCCTTCCGCGACGTCGTCTCTGCCGGCGATTGTCGACCGGACGCGGCGTCGCCGCTGGAGCCGGGGACTCGGCCCGAGTGGACGCGCGGCCCCCGCCGCCGCCGCGTGGCCTGCCGCTTGCCGCCAGGGCTCACCTGAGATGACGATCAACAAGCTGGGACCAGGCGCATCACTCGTCGGTGCCACCCGAGGTGGCATAATTCCGTGTTTTTGTTTACGTGGACAACAACAGTGAATAACGTGATAACCATTTTTAGAATGCGTTGGTTATCAAGTAATTGACTCTTAATCGTTAGGACTAAACTGTTGCGACCTTTGGTGGTATCCAATCTGCTCTGGAACATGGACTCAAAGGCTGACCCAGTTAAAACATGTACATTATTTTTATTTCTTTGGGTGAATGCATGTCCTAATGAAATGCAGATATTGGTTGTCATTCCCTAGTATTAATGTAGTTTAAACACATTTGTTTTAATATAATACAAAAGGCTGCTTACCAAAACATCCCGTAACAAAAACCTGCATCAAAAGTGTGGGCCCATGAGGGAGTGGAGTTCCGTGTGATTACTGCTTTGTTAAGTACAAGCGATTGGCAGTTTGACAAACCTGTTTTGTAGAATAAGCTACCGGGATCTATAAGCAAACTTGGGAAAGTGCGGTCCGTTAACGTTTCGGCATGCTGTTCACACGATCACTACACAGGAACATTGACAAATTCACCATGTACCTAATGTATGTTGAACTTCTTTCGCACCGTACGTAGCCGACAGTGCAAATCGGCGGTGCGAGGGAAGGACAACAAACTAAACGCAAAAAGCAGTTGTAAAGAAAATAGTTTTAAATTTAAAAGTGCGTAGTGCCAGTCTCTTCCTAATACCGGAATAAAGAGCGTTCCAGACGGCCGCACGAGTGTTATGACATCACTTTTCACTCCAACATTAGCCATCTCTCCCCCCTCCGTCTCCACCCCCTTGCCAACATGCCCTATTTATGATCGGTTGAACTGCAGTGAACCCATTGGCCGTTATTTATTTCCCCTCTTGTACATATACGGTCCGTGTCGCTCTGTAAGTAGCGTGTCTATGGACGCAAGTCGCTGGGCTTGTGTGTGAACTCGTGGACTTTTAGGACGTGTGGTGTTGCTGGGAAGCACGGCGTTTTCCCAAATTAACTACTTTATCTTTTTGTAAACAATTGCAATAGCAGGAATGAGTTTCTCCTCTTCTTTGACTGTAGCCAAACTTTTTTTCAAACGTGTTTAGTCTTCGTTCAACAGCACGGCCTTGTCATTTCGAGGGAGTGAAAACATGCGCACCGATGTTTTTCAAACGTGTTGTCACACTTAAAAGCAGACGTATCGGTGGGGTGCATCTGAACGGGCCATCATGTTTTGAGGTTCCTGTATCTAAAAAACAACGTCGCTGTATACAACTGCCTTGAACACGGCTACATACATGTAGTTTCATGGATTAAATGTCCTTCAACATTTTCTTTAAACTCGGAATAATTTTACATCGCAACTGTAGCTGCAAAGGTTGGCATTTGAAAGGAAGGCGATATTTCGCAACGTAACATTTCTTCCACTGAGAATTGAAAACTTCGTGGCACATTGAAGAGAACGTGGTTGGGTATATTTTCACGCACGTATTACGACTGAATGTATTTCCACGTTCTTGTTGCCGTACTTCAGGAGAATATGAACCTGTATTGGCCACCAACACCATTCTCTTGCCAAATCGTGGACAGAAAGTGTCTCCAGATGTATTTGTGTGTGCGTTAAACATCTTAAAAGTTCAAATCATTGACAGGCCTCTGCGTTTGCCGAGTCTCCTTTTGAGTTGAAGGAAACATTTCTCCAATGCGAGCACTTTTGTCAACCTTAACAGATTCGCGTGAGAGCACGTTTGTCCAGTTATAAAAGGTCACATTGTGGAGAATACTCAACGGCGATTGCCTGTGTTGGTGACCCTCATTTAAACCGCCACCCTTTTGGTGTTGAGAAGCGCTTCGTGTACTGGTCCTTGACATTTGGAAATGTAAGCAAACAGAAAAAACCTCGCGGTCATGGGTTTAAAGTGCTTTTGTTAAAGCCCCCTAATACCGATAGCAGCTGAAACTCCCAGTGGCATCACCACGTGAGAAAGAAAGTGAGGCTCTGCTGGGTTGTGCGGTTGTGAATAAACAACTTTAGACTGTGACGCCACCACCTCGGACGTGTAGATGGGTGTTTTGGGGTGTTTTTGTATCGAAAGAATCGTTTGTGAAAACAGTACATAAACAATAAAAAAAACCCTTAAAAGATGCAACTGAATGCTGAAGTGTATTTGTTTTTGTCTTGGCGAATGTGACCAGTGTGTGTGGTGGTGTACTGGACATCTGTGAAAATCGCTTCATAGTTAATCGGATTTCTCCAGGATAAATAAATATGCTGATTCGAAATCTTGACTTAAAGCTTTCGTGACTACAGGAATTCATATTCTTTGGGTCTTTCGGTGAAGCCACATACATAGGCATTTCATTGTTTTTTGGGGCCCATGAATTGTGATGTACAGTTCAGAGGATGAACGAGGGTTTCATTGCCCGTCGGCCTTGCTCGTGACGGTGGCGACGCGCAGTTCGCCGCCTGCCACCGCACGGCTCCTCGCCGCCCTCCCCCAAACACAGAGTGGGGGGGGGGCTCATCGCACACGACGTCTGGGCTTGTTCGGGTGCTGGAGCTCGCCTCCAACATAATAGAGGGTTTTATTGGTGAGATCGCATAAATGTGTCGTAAAACCCGCCACCACCCGACACAGCCAACTCGTAAGGGTTGTCACGTAAGCAGAATGTGCTAATTCGTCACTAGTACAGCACTAACCGGTGTGTTGGAGAGCCAAGCCACAACATTTACAATCTGAGTACGACGTTTCGCCAGTAATTACAACTAGCTTCATCAGGCGAAAGCCAGATTTGTCTCGGGTGGTGGCGGGTTTAACGACACACTTATGTATTTACGCGATCTAACACAAAAAAACCTCTTATGGATATTGGTCGCGAAAGCCGACAGTGTTAAACTGATCTTAACACCTGTTTCATTTTCAGAAAAAGCAAAACCTATGCTTTTTTTTTCCGTAACACAGTCGATTTGAAGTCTCGTGCATGTTTCACCTTGCATCCCGTTGTGCATGCTAATCATGCTCTAAAGTTAGTATCACGGTGTTTTATTTAGTTTCCTTTGCTTTCGAGTTTTCAGCTCCTCTTGACCAGTCACCCCGCGGGCTGTCCGGCACGTTGCGTTTTCTCTTCCTGGCTGTCGCTTCGAGACCAAATTGCTTTTTGTGGTTTTGCCGGGAGGGTTTTGATTTTAAAGATTCCAAAGTGTGTCTTTCCATTCGCGTTGGGGGGGGGGCCTCGTTTGATTTCGCTGACAGCTCGAATGATGATGATGATTATTGACAATGGACACACAAACTACCCGCACATTCAGGGTGTTGCTGTTCACGCGTTCAGCCGTCCACACTTCCACTCGTGATACTACATTGGCTGCGGTGCACAAGCACATACAACACACCTAGACACTATTATCCATAACACCGCCCTTCAAAAAAACAGCAGTTACTCGTTTGAGGCTGAGTCGACCTTGGGGAGGCCCAGGAGCGGTTAAAATAATCGTCACCGGTGGTGGCCGTGAGCGGGAATCGAACTCGGGTCGCCGGGTTCGTAGCGCAGCGCGCTAACCACGACACTGAAATGCGTTACGCTTCCACGTGCGCGGGTCACGTGACAGATTTGACGTCACAAGCTCACTTTCCGTGCGAAAAATCTATGCATTTTTGAGCTCCCCCCCCCCCCCCAAAAAAAAAACAAGCGTATTTTTTTACAATTTTTGCATGGTGTACATTCTGGAAAGTACCCACATGGCAAATTTCAATTTTGTTGTATGTCGGGAAGTTCGCTAAACATCTTTGACACACATAATCACAACTTTGCTTTTTATATATATGGAGATAGGAAACATGTCGAGTCATGGACCTTCTTCATAGCAGCAGCGATCAGAATGGAGGCCCATTGCCTGAAACGTCGCCTATGATATACGTGTTAGTCTATAGGGCAGTGTCGGTGACGAGTGTGAGTGTTGCTGTTTGTGATTGTTACACCACTGCCCAACGCGGCTTCCCAGTGTGTTGTGTGAATGTGATGTGTGTGTGATGTGTGTGTGTGATGTGTGGGTGTGTGTTGTGTGTGTGATGTTGAAGTCAATGTCCATCGATGTTATGAATTTGCTCTGCTAATTACAAAGCACAGAGAGGGAGCGCCTCGCGGTGTGATGAGCGGTGACTCTCACGCGGACATCTGTTGCACGCGCGGCGTCAGTGATTGCCTCTTATCGACAACCTTTTTTTTAAAATGTGGCAGATTTACATATGTTAGACAATTGCATGTTTAATAGCTGTTGGTTGAATGTGTGCTCGGTGATTAAACGTATAACGAAAAGTCATTTACATATGTGCAACAAACCTCATACTTTAACTTTTTGAACATGATTTTACAAGTTGGCGATAATGGAGGATATTTTAAATATTTGTATTAAATATGTGAGTCGATTTTTTAACGTGTATAAAGAAGCAGGCATAAACAACAAATATAACGTATTTCTAAAACATTTTAAATATTTTTTTGAAGCTTCGCCAAAATTATTAAAACCGCGAGTCAGCAACTTTCGCCTCCCGAGCTCGCACGAGGCTCTTGAAATATATATTTTTTTATATTTGACTAAAAACGAAAAAAAATGTGTTGTTGGGGTTGCCGGCCGGCCGACCCTGGCTGAAACCATCCGTGCAGCGCTGAGCCGACACGGCAAGAGTTCGCCACGAGCTCACAGGGGGCATCTCGCTCCATCGCAGCCGCATCCCATCCCGCGCCCCCCGTGGTGCCACGTCCTCCAGCCGAGGGTGGCGCCCGTCGTTCAAAGGGGGGCATCGTTGGGACACAAACAGGGCAGCCGATTGGTGACTTCCCCATTCAGGCGGCTGTCAGAGCACGGCCTCGCGTCAAGTGGCGCGTCTCCTCCTCCGCCGAGGGGCCAATCACGCGGCCGGGATGCGCTCACGCCTGCACGCACACCCCCTGACGCCCCGAGCAGAGGAACGCGCCACCACCACCACAACAACACCACCACCACCCACCACCGGTCCACATACCTGAATACCGAGCGGTCATCAACCCACCACGCGACCCTTACCAGCTTTATTCCCGTCCATGTCCCCCTATTTCCACCCCCCGCCCCCCCCCAAATCGTTGACGTAACGGAAGGGGTTAATTGCGGGACGCTGGTGTCAGTGGGACCCAGGCGCAACGTAAAGCGAGCGTGTGCACAGTCCAGTGCTGCGAGTTTGACCATACAAGGGCTGCTGTGTATTGGCATCATTATTATTATTATCTTAATTCAACTCCGAGGTGACCAATGATGGGAATGGTAAGGTGTCTTTCGGGCGCCACGATAGCGAAATGTTAACTACCTCGCCTGGTATGCAGGAGGTCGTGGGTTCGACCCCGATCTTGACGATGCCTTCTGCTGTATATTTGTTTGCATGTTCTTCCCGTGGTCGCGTGGATTTTTCTCCGTCTCCTCCGGGTTTTCCCTCTGCATTTCGAAGCGACATCACGTGGTTCGAGTTGCTGTGAATTATCGCATGACAAGCTACTTCGTCGGGTTATCATTTGTGGCCAAGTGGCTTCTCAAACATAACGATATAGCTCAGTGGGCCTTACCTGCTAAAATAACATCAGCGTTTAGTTTAGTTTTCGCAGCGATGAATTTGAAGTGCAAATTCTAATGAGAGAGAACGTGTTCCAATGTGTGCTTATCAAACCCAACGGAAGATTGTCATTTGATTTCCTGCTTAGGATCGGGCTGTGTTGAATGTGGAGGGTAGCAAACTGTCCATCGTGCGTGCACATGGATGGTCTCTTGGAGCCGATGAACGACTCCAGGGGGAGAGGTCGTGCAGTGGTTGGCGCACTGCGCTTTGAGCCCGGGGGGCCTTCAGTTACTTTTCCCGGCCACTGATAACTTCACTGGCGAAACAATCCTGAGCTCGCCTTCACCAACCTGCACAGGCCCAGCGTGGTGAAGTATGGTCAAACAACGCCAATGACTGACACAGCTTAGGGAGGCCTTCGTCCAGCAGTGGATTGACAGCGGACTGCAACTGATGAGTAAACGATGAATGAACACAGAACACATCGAAATGTGATCTTTGCTGGAGCTACTCTGGATATGGAGAAACTGACTATTTCATCATTTAGACCCCATTACGGCGACATTGCAATTTAATCTTTCGGAACGGGACTGTTTAGCAAAATGTGTGAATGCACTCGTCGACAAGTTTCAATTTGGGCATGAACAACCGAAACTCCTAAACCGGGGCACCGATTCTGCTGACCGCCATCATCTCATTCCAAAGAGCATCACGGTGCGATCGTGTGGACAGGACAGCGAATGTCTCTGTGCCCACGAGAGCACCCACCCCTTTTGTTTTTAAAGTGCCGTGTGTACGAATGTTGTCTCCCACGTGTCACGACGTGTGGCCTCCACGGCTGGCACCGCGTGCCAAGAGAGAGGAGCGGCGCGCAATCACAAGATTTGCGAATTGAAATCCGGGTCGCGCGGATGACGACTCGAGCCCTCAAGGCCCTGGGATTGCTGACAACGAGACGCCGCTTCGCGGAGAGCCACGAGGCAGCTGTGTCGGTGGCCTAACAAGTCGAAGAAACGATCCCACTGAGTCGACTCGGAACAACGTCCGACGTTTCGCACCACGTGCTGGGGAGCTTCTTCGGTAAGCCTGAAGGGGCCGTGCTATATAGAGCTCTCGGGAACCATGGCGAAGCTCGTGAAGCGAAACGTCGGACATCATGCCCGACAACACCTGTAAGAACCCGACAGCACCGTTTGTAAAGTTCAGCGACTCTGCCTTGACAGCAGACACAGACAGAATGGTGCCTCTCTGCAGCCCGGGGATGGAGTCGTGAGCAGTCACTGGCCGCGTCGGGGCGACGCTGTCGCTCAACTTATTTTTACAATTATGAGACCTCCTTTGCCAGTAGCAAGATATAGTAATATGCTTTTACCCTTTAATCTGGCACAAAAACTGACACCTTTATACAAGGGAAAAGGCGTCTTTTGGCGTCATCTGGTCCAACACCATGTGAGACTAGGCTCTAAGAAAAGCCGTCTCGGGTGTGGACCAATCAATTCCAAGGACAGTTTGCCTTTTGACTGCAATTGTTGTGGTTATTGCAAATATGATCCCTTGCATAAAGG